GCTGCTGAGATGCACAATTACAAATACGTAATAATCTTGAAATAAAGTATCTACACAGCTACAAGAACACAGATACTGATCAACTCCCAATATTTCTGCCCTCATGTGGAAGGGGAAGGAAGAACTGGGGAGTGGCAGACTACTAAGTTCATTTCAACAGATCATTTTATTTTTTTAATTTTTTAAATTGTTTTATTCATTTCTGAGAGAGAGGGAGAAAGAGTGTGAGCAGGGCAGGGTCAGAGAGACAGGGAGACACAGAATCTGAAGCAGGCTCCAGGCTCTGAGCTAGCTGTCAGCACAGAGCCCGACGTGGGGCTCGAACCCACGAACCGTGAGATCATGACCTGAGCTGAAGTTGGATGCTTAACCGACTGAGCCACCCAGGTGCCCCAATAGGTCATTTTCTAACAATAGTTGAAATGCTGATCATGAGTGTGATTTAGGACCTTTCAAATAAAGGCAAGTAGGGACTGATGAAAATAGGAAGGGAACATATTGGCTCTTTTAACTGGACCAGCCACTTTCCAGACACTTGGTTTTCTGACAGCTAAAAGAGAAAGGGAAATCTCTCCTCCAACTTTTGAACAGAAGTCCCAGGTTTCTCTAGGAGTGAAATTGGACCCCCTGTTTATTTGCAAGAAATAATTTGACCAAGGGATTACAATGAGCTGATTGTTTTAGACCTAGACTCTTGCCTAATTATGAGCCAGTCGCCACAGCAAGGAGGGTGACATTTGAACAAGTGGCCTAATCCAATCAAGCTCCACACCAGGAAACTTGAGATGAGGCTGTGGCTGCTCCTCAAAGGGAAATATAGTTACCTCTGCCCACTCATGGATTAGAAGCTTAAATATGTACATTATGTAAAACACAATTTACGTACAATTTTAGACCATCCTCTCAGGTCTAGTAAGCCCAGTGGGGAGTAATTTTTATTTTCAGATTAGAAAATGCATCCAAAATAGAGTGTTTCAAATAATAAAGAGAAATACCAACATCCAGATACTTCTACATTCATACTAGCTCCATGCATCTTTATCCATTGACATCAACTTAATTTTATCTGTACTTTCTCCACCCCAGGGGTGGAGAGGAAATTTTGAGAGCTTCTGTGTAGTTATTGTTGCTAGGAAACAATATCCTTGGTATCCAAGTGTTCAGGCTTTGAGGCACTGTGTGAAGTCACTGGTTCATAAAGGAAAGCCTTTGGTAAATAGGTTGTTTAGGTGTGAGTAAATTGATGTTTGCTCTCTGTGGCGAAATGTTCTTGTGTAACCTTTGAATAATAGTGTGTTTCTAGGCCTCTATTCTTTCCTTTGGATCCAGCTGCCATTATTGACCTCATGAGAACTCAAACTTCTACCTGAAATGGAGTGAGCATTCTCTTTCTCCTCCCAAATCATGTGTAATTATCTCAGTGCCTTGAACACGAAGTCTAATGGGTTTTAGTTAAACAAAGCATAAGTGAGCTTGGAAATAAAGACCCAGACCACTGACCGTATGAGCAGTTGAATAGTATTAAAGTCTGTATTGGTTGATGGCCATATTCCAGCCCTTTTGTGCATGGCATTGAAGTCTCCCACTACTTCAGAAGTGAGAGACTTCAGAAGTAGGAAGCAATGAGTGGTGCTGGTTTGATTCATCCCATACCTTCTCCTCTCTCAACTCGAAGCTGCAGACCATCTCCAGACTCTCAATTCTAATTATTGCTGACATTTTCCCCATTGGATCTTATGATTTGAAAACCAACTTGAGGTTGTAATTTATCACCTCATGACTCAGTATGCCTAAAATTAACAAGCAGGTTTTTCTATGTCCTTGATGCCTGGACCCACCTGCAAGGCCCCTGTGAGCAGAATCATCTTAATCAAAGAGTAAATCCAGCTCAAGAATACTACCATATAAGTTATCTATATCAAGTTACCAGGTTGAAACAATAAATTTAGAACTCAAAACTTCAAACAATATTCACTAATTCATTTATTCAATAAATATGTATTGGATGCTTACTGTAGATAGAATCTGTTCTAAGTATCAGGAATTTTTAAAAAATGAACCAAAGGGGGTCCTTGCTTTCATAAAGTGTATAGAGAGGGAGAGGGGACACAAAGCTACATAAACAGATGCAATATTTACATAAGATGTACTGTGTACATCTCAAGTTTTCTCAAAAAGGTAAATCAATAGAGAGAATTGGTTATAAAAATTGGAGGGGCTGGAAGAGCGAAAGGGAGAAGGAAGATGGGATGCTGAAGGAGCAAAGGACAGAAATGGCTAACACTCCTGTGCTGGAGCCCATGAGTCTGAATCTGCTGAGATCCTATCAGAGATGGTGTTCTAAGTGTTTATGGAGCTGCCGAAAGAGGTGCTGCCTCTTCCTCAGCTTCAAGGGTTTGGAATCACCCTACTGCCTCCGCAGCAATCACCATCAACTGCAACACTACTGCACTACTAGAGCCAGAATCCAGAACCTTCCCCCCACCCTTCCGTATTCTAAGCTTCAGCCAGTTCTTCTGAGGGGCAGCATCTAACACGAAGCCAAAGAGACAGGGAGCCCAGCCCCAGCAGTACAGTGTGTAGAAAGTGGGACGTGAGGCCAGAAACACCAAATGAATGACTTGCACAAGCCACAACAGAGGTTTGTTTTGTTATTTTTTTTCAAGTAGGCTTCACACTCAGCATGGAGCCCAACGCAAAGCCTGAACTCATGGACCCCAAGATCAACACCCAAACTGAGATCAAGAGTCGGATGCCCAACTGACTAAGCCACCCAGGCACCCCCACACCAGAGGTCCTAATGAAAAGCTCTGGTAATCTCAAATCTGGAGCAAATAGTTCTTCCCCAGAAGAAAAAGAGAATGTGTCAATCCAGTTTCTATTGCAGATAACAGAAGCCCATTTGGCTAGCTTCAGCATGAAGAGATTTAATAGAGGAAAGTGAGGAAAGATTTAAAAGCTTCCAAAATTAAAAGATTGAAGGAGTGGGCCCTTGGCTGGGCCACTGGACATGACTCCCAGAGCCACAGTGCAAACTGGCCCTTGAAGGGAACTGATAGCACTACCACAATCAGAAAGCTGGTCATTAGGGAGCTTCTACTACCATGTCAATTTGAGCTAAAATCAGAATTCTGGTTCCACAGCCATCTATACTCTATGAGCTGTATAAACAAAATGACTACCTCAAACACCACCTTGGACATCACTTAATTCCATCTAACCTAGGGAGCTTAAATCATATCCACGCCCTTGGTTGCAAAGAAATCTGGGAAATGTAGTTGTCTTTCCTGGAGGATATTAGAATCCATGCTAAAGAAAACCAATACACATGGTATTTGACACAGAAGGAATTCTACGGTGAAATATATAGCATTTTAGATGACATTTGCAAGCTCCCAGAGGACAAGAGCCATGTCAGCTTTATTTACCACTGTAACCTCCAGCGCTTCTCTACCACCTGGCATATAGTTACCACTCAATAAATATCTACCCATTGAATGAATAGAGACACATACACAGGTTAGTGCTTGGTTGTCAGGTTAAGGTGGGTAACACAAACCAGGAGTCCTAATGATAAGAAACAAAAATTCAAGATTCTACAAACTTTTATTGGACACTGACTATATGCTAGGAGCTTGGTATATATGCTAGACACTGAGGTACAAAAAGGAAAGAAAACCAGTTCCAGACCTGAAGGGCTCAGAGGCTGGTGGAAGATAAGTCAAGTAAAATTCAGCATGGTTTTGTGTTCTGTTCATGGCAAGCATGTAGTTGAGTTGACAAAAGTCAACTGGGGGCAGAAGAGCTGTGACGAGTGCCTTAGGTAACTGCCTACACTTCGTCCTACACTCAGTCATGGCTACCAACCACTTTACCCCTGTCAGCCCACTTTTACCTTTGCATACTGGAATCTTTGAAGATTTTATAGTGTTTGTATATATTTAACTTTGCCCTTTAAATTTCAGCTTTCCTGATAAAATTAAGTTGCTTATTGAGTAACTTCTGTGAAGTAAATCACTGTCTTCCACTGACATCTTCCTAATTTTATGTCATTCCCTCTATATGTTTATTCGCTCTACATGTTATTCCTTCTGGAAGGTGGCCTGGTCCACCCGTCTGGCCCATTTGCTCAGCCTGATAGTAGACCGTGAGATCCCGGAAAGCAGTGCCATGTGTGACCCACTGTATATCCATAGTGCCTAGTATAGTGTTTGATACACAGTAGGCACTCAAAATCTGTGTATTAGAATGTTAAGTATAATTTCCATTGATTTGCCTTTGCCAGTTTAGAGGTAGTTGGTATTTGTGCTTCAGCAAAGATCCTGATGGGTGTCTAGGAAGATGAGAGGTTGAATCCAGACTTGTCCACAGCAGCGGAGAAGAGTCAGCAAAGACCTTATATGAGAGCATTTGGGAAGTGGAAGTGAGCTAGCAAGTGCCTCTGATGGGCAGCACGTAGACACTAATACAGAAGCTGTGTTTGATCAGTCCTGATTTTACTGCCAGTAGAAAACAGGCCACCCAGGGCCACAAAGTAATGATAGAGGCTTAATGAGGTCAAAAGCTGTAGGTGAATCCATCCCCAAACTGGGACAAGGGCAAGGGTTTGTTCTCAGGCTTTGATCTATAAATAGTATGGCTCTCCACAGAGAGTCTCTAGATACCAGGTTTTAGAACTTCCTCCCTAACAAATACTTACAGTTCAAATATTCTATGTTGCCAACTAAAAGCAAAAACATGTGTCATCTAGCGCAGAATAGGACAATGTCTCTTTGTGAATTGTGAGGAGCCGAATGAGAGAAACTGCCTGGATGAAAACCACTCCACCCCCATATAAAGGTGAGCAAAGGGTATGAGACATGCGAGGCTAAACCTTATACTCCATTCACGTTCGATAAGAAGAGAGCTTTAAATTTGAGCATATTGTCTTGGCTTCTTTAAAGGATTTTTAAACTAAATTGTATTTATTTGATTCCATCTATCATTTTGAAAAAGCTTACCTCTCACGCCATCTTCCTGAATGGATATTGCTGAGGCATTTATCATCACGTAAAAAAGGTGCATGGGAGAAATTTTCCCCAGGCCTAGCATCAGCACTTTGTCTTTTTCCAAGCCAACTGGTTTGTTTTCATCTCAGGGGCACTGTGAATTTTTAACCTGATCTGATTTTGTGTTGATGGAAGGCACTTTTATGGCTCTGAAGAGATACAGGTCTGGATGATCCTGGAAGCTCATTTCCTCCTTCCTGGCAGAGAGCAAACTCAGCAGATCTAACTTAACTTGACAAGCAAGAGCTGGTCCCAACTGCTAAGTCCCTAAGGCTATGCCTTTATGACCAAACCACCTCCACCACTGAGACCTGCCGCTGTCACATGGTCACCCAGTCATATACAAATGTCCAGCCAGTCCTTTTAAAAGTATACATTACAAGACAGGGCTCCTCTCTACCGGAATCTTGGCTACAGTGCATTCAGTCTACCTCTGATGAGCCTAAGCTGAAGGATCAGGAGAATCTGGGGAAATTTGCACTCCACTATATCTCTGCTGGATACATCTTCCAAACTCAACCCCATTCTGTATCTTCTCCATGTCACACTGGTCATGTGTAATTGAAACCATATTGCTCACATGTAGAAAATATACAGGATTCTACGACATCCTTTTTTTAATCCAGTGTTTTGATTTTTTAAAAGATGCACATGATTCAAACTCAAAAAATAATAAGATAAATATAGCGAAATTTTCCCTCCCATCCCTATCACCCATCTACTTAGTCCCCCCAAAGGGAATAATTATTAATTTATTATCTGACCCCCCAAGTTTCTTTCATACATATGCAAGTATATACAATTATAGCATTGCTTTTCCTATATTTTTCACACACATGTTAGAATGTTGTGATAGCTGAACTTTGTGGGATTTCTTTTTCATTAAAAGTAATTTTGGAGAGTTTTTCATACTATATGTAAGAATTTCCCAATTCTTTTTTTACAGTTTTATAATAGTACATTAATGTACCATAATTTAGTCAGCCACTCCTCCACTGAGAGACATTTATATTGTTTCAAATATTTTGTTTCTAGAAAAAGTGCTGAAGTGAATAATCCTATACATACCCTCTTCACAATTATTCAATTCAATCTGTGAGATGAATTTCTAGAATAGGAATTTCTGAGTCAAAGGGTATATGCATTTGTATTTTTGATAGATGAAGCCAAATTGCTGCATATGGGTTATACCAAACCACATTCGCACCAGCGTTATATAACAGTGTCTGTTTTTCCACATGCTCAGCAATATAGTGTGTTATTAATTTGTGGATTTTTACCACATTGTCAAGTAACAAAAAAAGGTATTTTGATGTAATCTTAATTTTAATTTGTATCTCCTTTATTATGATTGACAGTGGGCATTTTTACCTTTATAATGAACTGTTTTTGAAATTCTTTTTTCCATTTTGTCATTAGGTTTTTGGTTCTTTTTCATTGTTGTTTGTAGAAACTCTGTATATTAAGAAATGTAGTTCTTATCTGCAATATGCACTCTAATTATTTTTTGTTATTTGCTTTTGAGGTTGTTTATGGAGTTTTGTCATGGCTCTTTTTTTTAATGTGGACAAATCTGTCATTTTTTTGTTGTTGTTGTTGTATTACAGTTAGAAAGGCTCCTTAAGGGGGTACCTGGGTGGCTCTGTCGGTTAAGCATACAACTCTTGATCTGAGCTCAGGTCATGATCTCACAGTTCATGAGTTCGAGTCCCACATCAGGCTCTGTGCTGACAGTGCAGAGCCTGCTTGGAATTCTGTATCTCCTCTCTACCCCTTCCCCATCTGCACTTTCTCATTCTCTCAAAATAAATAAATAAACTTTAAAAAAAGGCCTCCTTGATGCCAGAATTCTAAAAGAGAGTTCTCCCTTATTCTCTTCTAGTACATATACAGTTTTATTTTCTAGATAAAACTATTATTAATTTGAAGTTTATAATAAATAATAATAATTTATTAGTCCAAACTAATTTTTTCCAGTAGCTCTGCAGTTTTTTCTATATGATTTATGAAACTGTCTTCTTCCCAATTTTTCCGGGTACCAATTCTATTATATACTAAATTCCTCTGTTCATTTGGCTCTGGTTCTGACTGAATTTTCAAGTGTGGCCCATTGATCTCTCTGTCTCTACCAGCATTAGAATAACACTTATCATTATTAAAGGTTTTTAGTACATTTTACTACCTGATAAAAATAGGTACCCTTTATCTCTCTTATTTTTTAGAGTTTTCTTGGAATTTCTGATGTGTTTATTTTCATTTTGGAATCGTTTCGTTCAGTTTATAAAACAAAACACCTATTGGTATAGGCGTTCACGTTAAATTATAAATGAACCTATGATGTTGAGTCTTTCTACTCAAAAACATGTTTATTTACAGCTTCTTTTGTGCCCTTCAAGGATGTTTTAAATGTTGCATATGTTGTATGTATTTTTCAGTTTATTACTAGATATTTTTGTCTCTATTTTAAAATATTCTTCCATTACATATTATAAATTGTTGTCTTTATACATGAAACTACCCATTTCTATATAGTAATTTTGTAGCCCATTATCATATCTAATCCTATTATTTCTGATTGTCATTAAGTTCACCCTTTAGGGTTTACTGAGTATACAATTGTATAACTTGTAAATCAGTTTAACAAGCAGCTGTACAACTTTATACTTCAATTTTCTTTCCCTTGCCTAATGCATTGGTTAGTATTACCAGAGTGCTGTTAAATAAGAGAAGTGGTAGTGGATACTTTTATCTGTTTAATTCTGTGGGAATGTTATAGTGTTTTTACAATAAGCATGATGCTAGCCTTGAGACTGTGATAGATATACCTTGCTATGTAAGGAAGTATCTATCTATTCAAATTTATTGAGTATCGTTGTTATGTTAAAAGATTAAATGGTTATTACATTTTGTCAAATGCCCCTTTGGCCCCTCTGTAAAAAATCATATTCATTCCTTCTCTGTAAATCTGTTAATATAATAAAATACATCACTAGATTTTTCTAATATTGAACAATTCACAGATTAGAAAACCCACCGGTTATGCCTTACTATTTAATGTACTGCTGGATTTTGTTCACTAATATGTTTTGCTTACTTTATTTAAAAATAATTTGGAAGTATTCGCTCTTTGCCTCTACTCTGGAACTGTTTCAGTAGTAATAGAATTATAAATTCTTAAATATTTGAGTCTAGTGGGTATTTGTTTATAGGAAATGAAATCAAGCTCTTTTGATCATCTATCTCTCCTGATTTGGACAAATGCTTTTCTTATGAAAAATGTATCCATTTCATTCAGATTTGCTAATTTGTTTGCATAGACTTGAACAAAGTAGTCTTATGATTCTTTACAAGCCCTGTTTCCAAGGTGATTTCCCTTATTGCGTGTTAGTTATCCATCCTGATTCATTATGTGATTAGACTTCCTGTAGAATCGTTTCCTCAAATAGGTCCCTGGGTGATATGTTTTCTAATCTTTGTAGCTTTGTATATTATCTCTGGAAGAAGCAAATTTGGGCAGGGAATGGGACACTGGGGTCTCAAATTTGCTGTCTTTTTGGCCTATACTCTAGATATTCTGTGGACATTACTCCCTAAACTTTTCCCTTCCATATAAGAAGTCCAATATGTTTTCCTTTGAAAATACCTTGAACTTTCTGTCTGGAAAATTCTAAGATTTTTTTGGAGTTCAGGAATGATATCACAATTACCCAATATAATGAGCCTTTCAATTTGCAAAATATTTTATTTATTAAGCTCAAGAGAACTTGGGTTTTCTTTTTATTTCTTTTAGCTCATCTTCTTTCAAGAATGCCTACTGTTTATATATTAGAACTTCTAGATGAGTTCTTTAAAGTCCTTTATGTTTACTTCATACTTTCCAAATCTCTGTAATTTTGTTTTCTTTTGAGATATTTTTTCAAGCTGTCTTCTAAGACATTAATCTGGCCTCACCAGTGACCATCTTCTCAACTTATCTAAAACATCTTTTTTTAAAATCTATGGGTTTTAGTATAAGGAAAATTTCTGTGCTCTAATCAAATATACTTAAGTGTTGAGATATATATAATATCAGTGTTCCAATATTTTTATAAGGATGGAAAATGAAGAGTTCAAACTATCATCTTCCTCCTCCACCAGCTCTTTTCACTAGGGGCCATACACTCTGGATGTTCTGCTTGCCCTTCTCCTCTAGGACTATTGGATTCTCTTATAAGCATTGTTGTTTTTTTCTTACATACACGTTGTGGTTTGGGGCCAGCTGCCAGAGCACTGTTAATGGAAACAATGTTCTAGCTGAAAAGTATCCTGAGCTCCTGGTAAATTGTCATTCTCCTGCTGATACACCAGGAGATAATCTCTGTCTCTCAGGCAGGCTACCTTTTCAACTCTCCCACCTCTCAAAACAATTCCTCCAGCCACCCAAGTGTCAGTGCCCTTTAGCAGCCCCAACGAGCCCCTGAATTCAGCCTTCTTGGCTAATCTCACTGTCCCAATCCCCATTCAAGAACTCCATGCCACTAGTCCCCAAGTTCTCTCTCATCCCAGAGCAGAGAAAAAAACCCCATGACAGCATTGTCCACTAGATCCAGACAGAGCTGAGACCTCACATTCCCCAGGTCATACTTCAACGCTGGGGTTAGAAATAGATCATAGTTGAACTGAAAATGGAAGGGAGAACATCAGTGTTGAATTTAAGCTATCATATTGCCACTAGCCATTTTCTCATTCTAGAATCCATAAATGGGCTTTACAGGATCCATGGTCCTCAGAAATTACCATCAAATTTTATTTATTTGTGTATTTATGTATTTATTTTATTTTTTATCCATTTATCCATCTACACATATGTATGTATATGTTTCTGTGAAGTTTTTAGAAGTTATTTTTTTTATTTTTAATGTTTATTTTTGAAAGAGAGAGAGAGAGAGAAAAACAGAGACAGAGTGTGAGTGGGAAAGGGGCAGAGAGAGAGGGAGACAAAGAATCCAAAGCAGGCTTCAGGCTCCGAGCTGTCAGCACAGAGCCTGATGTGGGGCTTGAACTCAAGAACCATGAGTTGATGATGTGAGCGGAAGTGGGGTTGAACACTCAACTGACTGAGCCACCCAGGTGCCCCTAGAAGTTATTTCTTAAAGACTTTTACTTTTATAGAGTGGTTTTAGGTTCACAGAAAAATTGAGAGGAAGATACAGAGACTTCCAATATGCCACAAGCTTCCACACATTCATAGACTCCTCCATTATCAACAGCCCCCACTAGAATAGTACCTTTGTTACAACTGCTGTACATTTGTTACAACCTATGCAGACATATCACAAATCCCCAATATGCCAATAAGTCAATAAGCCAATAAAATGTAGATTACTCTAAGTCCAATAGGTAAAGATGTTCTCACAGCTTTTTGGACACCAGGGGTTATAGCTAAAAGTAAATATCTTCTGTTCCTATGGCTAAACCTTAGTCATTGTACAATGGGTTACTGAATATGGAATATTACCCTTTGAAGAAAAGGCAAGTTCTTAGACCTAGAAGGAAATGGTTTAAAGAGAAATAAAATAAGCTAAATTGAAACTTATCACAGTAAATAATAACCTCCATAGAGTGGCAAAAGTAACAAATATAAAACAGTTGGGGGTTCAACGAGTTTAAGAATAAGAATTCAAAAAAGAGCCTTTTTTGAAGATAAGTGAGAAATGTATAAAGCAATAAAATTAAGACAGATTTATTTCCCCTCAAAAAAAAAAGAGTAGCTTAAAATTTCCTACATCCTTGCAGGGATATGTTTTCAGTGATCCTTACCACTTGGCACTCTTCTAAAGTTTAAATATGTTCTTTTTTAAAATCTCTTGTAAAATATTACTGACTTTAATCAAAAGTAGGTCAGCTTCATGTCTACTACATTATATGGTTATCTTCAAAACACAAGCCCTAGTAATTCTAATGGGGAAAAAAAGGATTTGATTTTTTTTATTGGAGGTGAATATAAAGAGAAAATGAACTTAGAAATTTCTTCTTTATCTCAACCAGGTAGAAAGAGACAACTATAGCCTTCTATATGCCTTAAAGTTTTTTTAAATTTTTAAATATACCCATACATTGTTTTTATAGAAGTTAGTATTTTATATGACCATAACCCAGCTAGACCTCTGGTAAGGGGGAAGCAGAAGAGAAAAGGAGAAGACAATAGACTTCAGGGTAGCCCCTAATAATGCAAATTGCAATCCTCTACACATTCCTCTTAAATTAACAAAAGCTCTCCCTCATAAATATTAAGCTATAAATGTATTATCAAAATTCATAGGGGTCCCTGGGTGACTAGTTGGCTAAACATCTGACTTCAGCTCAGCTCATGAAATTGTGGTCGGTGGGTTCTAGCCCCACTTTGGGCTCTGTACTAACAGCTGAGAGCCTGGAGCCTGCTTTTGATTCTATGTCTCCCTCTGTCTCTGCCTCTCCCCAACTTGTGCTCTCTCTCTCTCTCTATCTCTCAAAATAAATAAACACTAAATAAAAATTCATAAAGTTCTTCACACTTACACAGGGAGCAATCATAATATATAGAATTATTGATCACTATATTGTATACCTGAAACTAATACAATATTATATGTGAATTGTACTTCACTTTAAAATTTAATTAAAAATTCATATAGTTCTTGATTTTTCACCTATGTATTAGATATAATAAAAATATATGAGGGGCACCTGGGTGGCTCAGTCAGTGGAGGATCCGACTTCAACTCAGATCATGATCTCACGGTTGGTGGGTTTAAGCCCCACAGCGGGCTCGCTGCTCTCAGCCTATCAGCACAGAGCCTGCGTCAGATCTAGTGTCTCTCTCTGCCCCTGTTCCACTTGCAGTCTCCCCAAAATAAATAAATATTAAATATATGTATATGAATAGAAGTTTACCTATTTTCTAAAATAGATATGTATTTCTTTTTTAAAGGTCTTGATCACATGAGTATGTACAAATTTGATTTTTCATTATACTCCACCATTTTGCCCTTTCCGTTTTCCTTTTAACAAATATGTGCTCACTTATTATTATGTATTGTTGTTAAATGGTGCACAGTAAAAATCTATGTTCAGGTACTAGAATTCAGCTATCCACTTATCTAACCAAAGAATTCCCATTAATAGACGCAAAGAAAACAAGGAGTAATGATATCGGACATCACTGAACGATCAGAATTTATGTCCACTAGAGCGGATGCATCCCTCTTCCCAATGCAGGAATAGTGCTCATTATGAGACCTATATGCCATCCTGATTTACAGCATTGTCGTCTTACTACCGCTTGCTGGGAATTTTCTCTCCAGTTCCAAGACTCTTCAAAATGAATGTCTAGATCAACTTAACTCTATTTAACTGTGCTGTATGTCTTGGTTTCAGATGGCTATACCACCGATGACATTGAGTTTTACTGGAATGGAGGAGAGGGAGCAGTAACTGGAGTTAATAAAATTGAGCTTCCTCAGTTTTCAATTGTCGACTACAAGATGGTCTCCAAGAAAGTGGAGTTCACAACTGGTGAGGACGTTTCCCCCCAGATGAACTCGGGGCACTATGAAAGAAGGAAGATGACTCCTACCAAATGGAGATCTGATTTTTTTTTCTTTTTTCTTTTGTAACTCAGGGGCATATCCACGACTGTCGCTAAGTTTTCGTCTAAAGAGAAATATTGGCTACTTCATTTTGCAAACCTACATGCCTTCCACATTGATTACAATTCTGTCCTGGGTGTCTTTTTGGATCAACTATGATGCATCTGCAGCCAGAGTTGCATTAGGTAAGGCATTCCCAGCACTGCAAAGAGTTGTCAGGGCTTAGCTTCAACCAACCAAACAATGTTAGAAATTATAAGCAATGGCTTACTCTTAGAGCAAGTCAAAGAATGAGATTACCAGAAAAGTCCTTGAGAGTGAAACATTGAAGGGTAAGCATTTTCAGGATGAATGTTTTACATGCAATATCTTTTTAGCATTTTACCAAAAAAATTTCTTAAAATATATTTAATACTAACTATATTTGTGCTTCTTAGAGTCTATTTTTAAATTTTCATTACACAAATTTTTACTAACTTTGTGGTGATTTCCTCTTTGGTCTCTGCTTTTTACAGTGAAGAACATTTACAATGCATTAGTTTCAAATGGATTTGGAGAAAGCTAAACCTTGTGACTGTTAACAAGATGTGTCAATTGTTGAAAAATACTCTCTCTTGAACATTAACTAAAGTTAAGGTATCGATCTGAGTTTCCCTTAAATGGAGCTCATCGCCCTTGAATAAGGCACAGACATTCATCAGCTATATTAATGATCTGTGATCAGCACAGAATAAAAATGGCTTCCTTCCTGGAGGAACAAAATTCAAAATTAATCTTGCCATGGTTGAGTAAATTGCTGCAAGCTGAAGGGCTATATTTGAGACTTTAAAGGGTTGCTTGGAAAGTCAGAATATATAAGGTCTGTTTGATGAATCAGAGTATGTATGGGTCTGCCTCATTATTTGATCCTAGAGCCCTTTCAGGTATCACTTTCTGGGGCTTATTCTCACAGATGTGTGCATGTGTGCACACGTGCACACACACACACACACACACACACACACACACACTTCTTCTCACTTTTTCTGAGATTGCTGACATACACATCACTTCTCACTTCTGAGATTGCTGCACTGGGTTAGATGCTCACCATAACCATTCACACCCAAACTAATTGTCAACTCTGTAGCTGATTTCTGATGGCTCACTGTCAAGTGCTGGCAGCCGCTTATGAATCTTTGAACATTCCAAAACTAAGGAAAGCCAACAAATAGTTTATCACATCATAGGTATGAATCTGCACACATACCTGAATGTGAACATGAGTACATATATACTATGGTTAAGGAAAAAACAGCAGATGACGTCAACATAAGAGAATAACAACTATCAAGGTCATGAATTGTGGTTCTCCTTACACATCTATCCCCAAAGCTAATGGTATTTTGATTAAAGATGTTAGCACATAAAAATGTTGACTTAATCTTTTCTTTGAAATGTAAAATCTGTGATATTTTAAAACTTAAGTTAAAAAAAAGCATTTGATAACTAACCCCTCTGGCTTAAAAATTTAAGCCAAGGAGTAGAAATTGAAGTGGAATTAGTAGATTTGTAAATGAACTGTTTATTCTGCCAAGGACATTATCTAGAATTATATTGGGTGAACTTTAAAATTGTATTCAAAGAAATAAGTAAGACCACTCATGATGGCATTTCAGAGCAATGCAGCACTTTTGAATTCATCACTGATCTGTAACATTTTAACTTTTTGTGTGGTAACCCTGACTTCTTATTTTATCTGTTCCCTTAAAGTTGAATAGTCAAGTCAGGGAATGTATCCAGAATAGTCTCATGGGCAAATGAGCGCTTAACTATTTTTCCGCCTTTTCATTTCCTACCTTCTATTCTCTTTGCCAGATGTCCTTGGTTATTAACATCCATTTTAACATTTCCTGTCTTTATTTTTAAGGACTGCCATCAAATTTCAAGTTTTATCTTCTCATCTCTGTTTTCGTTTTAAGTGCCTTTGTTTAACACTTCCTTCTTTTTTTTGCCCCTAACTGGGTGATAGATGGAAAATAACTAATCTCAGAGTTTCTATTAATGCATCTATAAAACAGAAAAAATATCCCTGCCTTATCATACTCAGCAAGCTGTTATGACAGCCATATAAGATAATTCATAACTGTGTTTAAAACTGTAATGCGAGAGCACCTGGGTGGCTCAGTCAGTTAAGCATCCAACTCTTGATTTGGGCTCAGGTCATGATTTCGCTGTTCATGAGATCAAGCTCCATATTGGGGCTGTCAGCGCAGAGCCTGCCCGGGATTCTCTCTCTGTCTCCCTCTCTCTCCCGCCCACCAGTCCCTACCCCAGTCTCTATCTCTCTCTCTCAAAAATAAATAAATAAGCTTAAAAAAAATAAAACTGTAATATGCTATATAAATGTGTAGTATTAATTAGAACACAAATTATCTACGTAAGATTCCAACTTCTTTTTCACTTTTGTTTTTTCCAACTACATTGCATCATTGCCATCATCCACACCAAATATTTATTACACAGCCATGCAAAGATTATATGGGCAAGAAAGCTGTGTTTAGGGGTACCTGGGTGGCTCAGTTGGTTAAGCCTCTGACTTTGGCTCAAGTCATGATCTCACGGTTTGTGGGTTCGAGCCCCGTGTTGGGCTCTGTACTGATGGCTAGCTCAGAGTCTGGAGCCTGCTTCAGATTCTGTATCTCTCTCTCTCTGGCCCTTCCCTGCTCATGCTGTCTCTCTCTCTCTCTCTCAGAAATAAATTTAAAAAAAAAATTCTTTTTAAAAAGAAAGCTGTGTTTAACAAAATAGACAAAACAGAATTTTCCTTTTAAGAGTTTACAGTCTCAACCTTCTTCAACAAATCCAAGTTGAATTTTTCAGGAAATCTTTTCTTGACTCCAGGGAACTAATTCACTCCAGGCTCTAGAGTCAAGAATTAGAGGTAATATTTGAAAAACCAAAGCAACAAAATTGTATCTAAAAAATACGTATATCACATGTTTGATGAAAATCATGAAACTTCTTCCATATTTCTTCTTTTAGTGTTGTCTCACTATGAATGATACATTATTATTCTAACGTGTAATACTGACCTTGTGGCTTGGATGTATTATAGATTTATGGAATGAAGTAGGTCTCCTCAAAATCCAACTTTCAGTTTGTTAGTGGCTGTTGTGGGCATTAGTATCACAAGGACAGATTTAGTAGGAAAATGAGAGAGATATTGAGGGACAGAAGATGTGCTGTGTAACAGAATGAGGGACATTTGACTAAACAGTAGCCTATCAGTGGGATTTTGATAAGCAATTCTATTTATTCTTCTTTTTTCTATGTGCATTATTTTAAAACAATGGTTTCCAACTCTCCATTAATGGTACATCCTGTTTTATGATTTGTTCACGGACTGTATGAAGAGTGTGTGGCTTTGTTCTTCAAAATATCTCCTCCTTTTGCCCAGCGGTTTATCATGTCACTGCCATCATTCTGGGACACCAACAAGGAAAGAGCAGGAATAAGGAAATAGTCTTTAAAGGAGCTTAACAAGTACATTCAGGGAGCTCCTGGGTGGCTTAGTGGGTTGAGCATCCGACTTCAGCTCAGGTCATGATCTTACAGCTTGTGAGTTCAAGCCCCGTGTCGGGCTCTGTGCTGACAGCTCAGAGTCTGGAGCCTGCTTCAGTTTCTGTGACCCTCTCTCCGCCCCTCTCCCACTCGCTCTGTCTCTCTCAAAAATAAATAAAAACATTAAAAAAGTGCATTCAGCTAAGATGCGTCTTCCTGTTTCACAGGAATCACCACCGTGCTGACGATGACAACCATCAGCACTCACCTCAGGGAGACTTTGCCAAAGATCCCTTATGTCAAAGCGATTGACATTTACCTGATGGGTTGCTTTGTGTTTGTGTTCCTGGCTCTCCTGGAATATGCCTTTGTAAATTACATCTTCTTCGGGAAAGGCCCGCAGAAAAAGGGAGCTGGCAAACAAGACCAGAGTGCCAATGAGAAGAACAAACTGGAGATGAATAAAGTTCAGGTAATGTATTAAATATTCCTTATAATATTCTTCCAAAATTTATCAGCGGCATGGTGCTCAGGGCCCCCATAACAAGAAAAAAAAAAGTATATTAGTTTATCTTTAATACAGCCAAAGCACCCTCCCTTTTACATATTTGAGAATTGAGAATTGAAGAAGTTAGGTTGAAGTTAACATAGATTAATAACATACTTGGGCCTAAAACTCAACCTTAAATTCAGTATTCTTTATTCTAAACTATATAGTTGTGAAACTATAGGCAGAAGAATCATGCCAGATTTGCTTGATAAATAAATGAGAGAACTAAAATGAATCAGTTCTGTACTAAGTGGAAATGAAGAGATATGGCCCAGTAGTTACAACCACAGATGGAATTAAACTGCTTGAGTGTGAATCCCAACTCAGCTACTTACTGGCTTTATAACTTCAGGCACATCCACCTATGTAACCTCTCATTTAGTCTCTGTTCTCAAGGTCATCATCCATAAAGTGGAGATTATTATAGTATACTTATCTCATAGAGTTGTTATAAGGACTCAGTGAGGTTTTTTTAAGTCTGAATTTGTAACGATACCTGGAGCATAATAGGCATACATTGTGATTATAGCTAGCTAGCTATTACCCTTAGATGCAAGGCGTTGTCACTATTTTTCTTTTGCTTTTCATTGGTAGAACTTATGACTTGTGCTTTCATTAATGCTTTCTTTATTCTTTAAGAACATCTCTTTAGCCTCTACTTCTAAGCCATGTTTCACTGAAATCAAATTGAAATTGTGTATACTGAAATACTGTATCTACTATAAGTTGTTTTCAAGATGGCACACAAGGCGACAACTCAAAGATTCACTCATTTAGCCACCATTCTGAGCATGGGATACTTCTCTGAAGGAGACGAAGCTTCCTGGTTCTCATAGAGTTTAGACTCCAATGTGGGAAGGCAAGCCATAAACATGTAAACACATTAGGAGGATAGTACATGAGGTTGTAGTGAGTGCAATGAAGGAAGTAAAAGAGAGTGATGGGTAAGAGAATGATTTGGATCAGCTACAAGGGAGATCAGGAAGACCTCTGTGAGACAGGACCATTTGATCTGAGACCTAAGTGATGAGAGGCAGTAACCACGCCATGCCCATTCAAGGCAGAGAACATAACAAGTGCTGAGGCTCTGAGGACAGAATTGCTTGAGGTGTTAAAGTACCAAGAGAAGACCAATGTAGTAAGTGAGGGAGAGAACGTAGTATTAAAGGTGGGTGGAGAATCAGGCAGAAGCCAAACTATAAATCTTCAAGATGCATCTTCATGCTCTTTGGTGGGATATCAAAACTGGACAAACACTGTCAGGTAATTAGAAACTTGTAAGCAAAATACCAAACAGATTCAGCCAAATGGTCAAAATTCAAAGTAACTCATTCAAATAAATTTTAACTCTTTTTTTAAAAGTTTCTTTTTTGGGGCGCCTGCGTGGCTCAGTCAGTTAAGTGTCTGACTTCGGCTCAGGTCATGATCTCATGGATCGTGGGTTCGAGCCCCACATCGGGCTCTGTGCTGACAGCTAGCTCAGAGCCTGTAGCCTGCTTCGGATTCTGTATCTCTCTCTCTGACCCTCCCCTGCTCACGCTGCCTCTCTCTCAGAAATAAATAAAACATTTAAAAACAAATTAAAAAAATAAAAGTTTCTTTTTTAAGTTTAATTTTTTTTTGAGAGAGAGAGAGAGAAAGAGAGAGAGCATGAGCATGAGTGAGGGAAGCAAAGAAAGAGAGGGAGAGAATCCCAAGTGAGCTCCACGCTGTCAGCTCTGGCCCAATGCAGGGCTTGATCTCACGAATTATGAGATCATGACCTGAGCTGAAATCAAGAGTGGGAAGCTTAACGACCTGACCTACCCAGGTGCCCCAGTAAGTTTTCACTGTTATGTGAAATATTATTCTGGATTCTATGGGAGAAGGAGGAAACATGATACTTGCCTTGAAGAATCTTCTGATCTTTGTGGGAAAGAAAATTATATTCAGAGGAGGTGATTAGATTATAAGATGAAACAGGACAGCGCCTGCCTTGAGGAGTGTATCTGACAGAAAAAGGCTGATTGTAAACATACTAGCTTTAAAAGTATGTTAGCAGTTTTTAAGGCCACCTCTTTTCTGTTCCCATTCTCATCTCAGTTGCATTCTAAGCCTCTGCATAGCTTGGAATGTGTGTTAATGGATATATCATGAGGGAAAGCCCTACATACATAAAGTGGCATAGGTTCACTGGTGTGAAAATCTGAAGCTATGAACTGGATGGACACTCAAAGATGAGTACAATTTGGAAAGGTAAATGAGAAAATAGGGCCTTGGAATTGGCTAGCAAGGCAGCTTTCTCTAGAAAGGTAATTAAATGGAAAAGTCAAGCAAACTGAAATCAATTCATTCAGATAATTTAAAAAGATCATAAAACAAACTTTAAACAAACTCTTTGGTCATTTGCCTTGATTCCACCCCAGGATATCAGAGGACTTTTCTAAGATGCTAAGGAACAAATAAAGGCCAAAGGAAAGCCCCCTGTGTCACATCATATCTAGATGTATAATACATATGGCTCTGAAGACAGCTTAGTGACTGACTAATTAATAAGTAAAATGTTTCTATCTAACTGATCTTTGTGTTTGAGTCACATTGGGCTCAAACATAGTAAGGTTTCACTGGAACTCTAGTCAGGAAATGTTTATTCCAGATGAACTGACATTTTAAATTTGAATTCCAGTAGAAAGGATAGAAAAATCCCTCAATTATCAAGGATTTTTAAAGAAGATAAAAATGTGGTTTTATCTATGGAAAGCTAGACTAGAAATTTCACAAATGCTTTTCACAGAAACACAAACAGACAAAATCATGCCAAAATTAATTTAAAAATCATGTTGAGACATGAAAGAGTAGTTTATATTGAACTAACTCTCTTGTGGATTAAAAATTATAAACCCTGAGCAAAAAACACATTTTTTTTTTTTTACTTTAGAGAGAAACAGCATGAGCAGAGGAGAGGGGCAAGGGGTGAGAGAGAGAGGATCTTAAGCAGACTCCACACTCAGCATGGAGCCCGAGGGGGGGCTTGATCTCACAATTGTGAAATCATGACCTGAGACAAAATCAAGAGTCAGACACTCAACCGACTGAGCCGCCCAGGTGCCTCCTGAGCAAAAACTTTTTAAAATCTTCTTGAAGACATAAGAGACTAACTGAAAACAAGCAAAAACTAAAGGAGAATCAACCTTCAAATAAAGGGAATGACACCATCTTAAATCTGTGTTTATATAGCTTTGCCCTGAGGCCACTCCCCAGTCCAAAGAACTTCAGCCAAAAAACCTGTAGTTTTATTGGTCTGATGAGTCAAAACGTGGAATTTGATACTTCCAGAGTTTCTAGAAATCTTAGAAAGAAGTGAACCACAAGAGAAATGCAAAACCTGAATATAGGGGCACCTGGGAGGCTCAGTCGGTTAAGGCTCAGGTCATGATCCCACAGTCTGTGAATTTGAGCCATGCTTGGGGCTCTGAGCTGACAGCTCAGAGCCTGAAGTCTGCTTCAGAGTTCTGTGTCTCCCTGTCTGTCTGTGCCTCCTGCTCACACTCTGTCTCTCTCTTTCTCAGAAACAAATGATTTTTTAAAAAAGAAAGCTTTTAAACACATCTGAATATAAATTTCCCACAAATCCTTGGTTGACCTCTGAATTACAAATGTATAAAATGTTCAGAAGTCTGGAAGGGGGAAACACCTGAAAGGCTGAAAAAAGAACAGAAATAAGGGATTCTCCTTCAGTTAAGGGAAAAACTAAAATAGATTCACCCTAACTAGACGTAAAACCCACTCACTACACATTCTAGGTGACATTATTAGTAATTTAACTGCCTTTTATTATTATTAATTTTTTTTTAATTTTAGAGAGAGACAGAGAAAGATCAGGGGGAGAGGTACAGAGGAAAAGAGAGAGTATCTTAAGTAGGCTCCACGCTAAGCACGAATGGGGCTTGATCCCATGACTCTGAGATCATGACCTGAGTCGAAATCAAGAGTCGGACACTCTGGAAACTAATTTGACAATAAACTATTTGTAAAAAAAAAAAAAAAGAGTCGGACACTCAACCAACTAAGCCTCCAAGGTGCCCCTTAACTGCCTATTGAAACCAAACCCAACACTTATTAGGGAAAAGAATAGAATCCAGAGTCTCTACAGAGCATCAGCAACAGCTACTATATAATAAAAAGTTACTAGACATGAGAAAAAAGCAGGAAAACATGCCCATACTTAAGAGAAAAGACTTAGTCAGTAGAAACAGAACTGCAAGAGCCTCAGATGTTGGCTTAAAAGATAAGGACTATAATTAATAATAATTACTATAATTAATATATTTAGAAGTTCATAGGAAAGAGCCCAAAACTGAAAGAAGCTGAAATATCCTATAATAGACAAGTGGTTAAACAAACTGTAGTATGTTCATACCATGGAATACCAGCCCAATTAAAAAGTAATGAACTATTGATACACACAGCAATTTGAATGGATCTCAAGGCATTATGCTGGACAGAAAAAGAAAAGTCCATCTTAAAAGATTATACATTGTCTGATTCCATTTATATAATAAGCCTGAAATGATAAAATTATAAAGATTAAAGAACAGACCAGTGCTAACCAGGAGTTAGTGATGGGGGGAGGGGTTGAGCGTGATTAATTAGAAAGGGGTATCACAAGGCAGACTTTTGTAGTGGTGGAATAGGTCTGTATCTTGCAGGGGTGGTTATATGAATTGTCACACATAATAAAACTACATAGACCTATACATACTTTATAGCAATGTCAGTTTCCTGGGTGATATTGTACAATAGTTAAGTAAGATGTTGTCAATGGGAGAAACTGGGTGAAGGGTACATGAGATCTCTCTGTGCTATCTCTGCAACTTTCTAGGAATTTACAATAATTTCAAAAGAAAAATTTTTAAATAAAGTCCATAGGAACAGATTAATAT